ACTACTACTACTACTACTACTACGACGACGACGACGACGACGACGACTACTACTACTACTACTACTACTACTACTCCTACTACTACGTCTGCGACTTCTGCTACTACAAATGAGGCTGGCCTCACTTTGTTGATCCAAGTTGCTTGGTGTGCGGGTGGTCGGGAGGGAGGTGGAGTTTCTGTGCGGTGGGCGCGCGGCCACAAAAACAAGATAACACGCACAGAGCATAGGCAACAACATTCACAAAACGAAAAACAACCACATACAACCCATATGCCGAACATACACTGAGCGTATGCAACACATACGCATGATAAACATTTTAAATGCAGAAAACAATCATGAACAACCCAGTTGCAAACCATATGCGGCACATGCACCGGACAGGTCGAACAAACAAATGCGAAACCTATAGAGACCTTTGGGTGCAAAATACATGGCACATCCAAAACAAACGCAAACCATGCATGCAGCACATACATGACACATGTACACAACAAATACAGCACATATACAACGCGTATAGAACACATAGTACACATACAACGTACACCGCATACCGGAAACATATACAACACATTGAACGGATACCCAAGTCATGTTCACATCCGCTGTTCGGCATGTACAGGACATCTACACAACAGAAGACATGTACGAAACACACACGTAACATGAACAACGATTTGATAAACGAAAGTGCGACCACATGGAACACATGCAGAAACCAGGTACCGAACACATGCAACACAGACCGAAAACGTGTGCAGCACAAAACGACAAACGACACATTTTTAAACATAAATATACAAACCACACGAAAGCCACCCACAAAACGCGAGTGCAAAACACTAATACAAAAAAGGGCACACTATAACTATATCTATATATGTATATATATACTATATAACATATAACAAATCGGGAATCGATACAATCGTTTACCAAACATATACAAATCATGAGCCAACTTCGCACACAATATCTGCAACATAAGTACAGAACAAATACAAACCACACACACACACACTGCAAACACCGCGCGTACACAAAGCATCTACAAAACGCAATCAACAAATTTGCATAGCAGGCGACATCCGTATATCAAAATACAGTCAACAAAAAGGCCCACACCACACGAATGCCAAGTCTGGGCAGAAACTATACAAAACACACGCGGAACACATACGAACTATGAGTCTGGTGCGCGGCAACAAGAAAATACAAACATGCCACGCAAACAACAGATGAATCCAATACGTGGCTACACAACAGCTGCAAGACAGACGCATAATATGTTCACAGCATATACAAATCACATGAACAGCGTATACAACGTAGAAACAAAAGGCAACACATATAAAGAACAGTGCGCAAAAACATAAACTAACCATACACTACGACCTAATCAAAACATATACAAACAGGCACCACACGTGGACAAACCAAATGCAAACCCTATACAAATCATATACAACACGCGCACGAAACCTGCACAAACCACATACAACAAATATACATAAACGTAAACAACACGCAACCGAAACATATACAACACAAATGCACAATGTGTACATAACATCTACACAACATGTGCACAACACGCACAATACATATACAAAGCATGTGCACCAACGAGAACAAGCGATTTAGAAACCAAACGCACCACATATACAAACCAAACGGGGCAAACTGAGACGGCACCATGCCCGAAGCATACACAAATCATGTACAAAGCACACACGCAAATCATGTACACAGCATGCACAACACGTACACAAAACTCGACTGGGATATGTACATATGTGCAAAAGCCATGCAGCACATACGCAAATCATGACCAACACACCCACACATCAACACACACAGCATATACAAACACATGTACAACACATGTACATGACATGAATGAAACATGGACAACCATGTACAAAGCATGTGCAACCTGTGCACGCAACGTACCGCATAGACCACCCTTCGGGTGATAAGGAGGTGAGGGGGGGGGGGGAGGGACCAACGTCTCACTCGATTGATCTCACTATCGAACTCACTACCGATCTCAATCGATCTGAATCGATAGATATCACAATCGATCTGACTATCGATCTCACAATCAATCTCACAATCGATCCCACAATCAATATCGCATTCGGTTTCGCTATTGATCTCACAATCGATATCACAATCGATCTCGCATTCGATCTGTCTATCGATCTCACAATCAATCTCGCTATCGATCTCACTATCGATCTCACATTCGGTATCACTGTCGATCTCACTATCGATATCACAATCGATCTCTCAATCGATCTCGCATTCGGCCTCACTATCGATCTCTCTATCGAACTCACTTTCAATCTCATTATCGATCTCATTATCGAACCCACTATCGATATCACAACCGAACTCACAATCGATCTCACATTCGGTCTCATCATCGATCTCACTATCGAAATCACTACCGATCTCACTACCGATAGTGATCCCACTACTAACTCAATCG